ATATGCACATGAGTAAAATGTCCTTTTGTAAGAGACTTCGCTAAAAGACTGCTTTTGATACACAATTTCTTCATCTCCTCTTCAAACTGAATTGAGCTACTTCCTTCTTTTAAAACACAACTCACTATTTAGAAGCTTTGGCTTTGATTTCTCAGAACAGCCTTACAGGAAGAAACTATGTTCTTTTTCTTTTTGTAACCATATTTCTGAAGACAAACTTGTACTGATTTATTTTGATTTTCTAACAGAAATAGGTTCCTGCAAAGAACACTGACTGTTTCTTCTTCTCCCCCCTCTTTCACCCCACTGCTACAAGAATATTGCTGTGCGCAAAGCTACCAAGGAAAACTGAAATCCCTCTGTTGGGAACTGTGTACATAGCAATATATTCATACTTTGAGAAATAAGTGAGATTTTTTTTTTTAGTTCTTAGCATGACATACTGTGCATTTCTTGCATGCTAACCACTGAATTCAAATTGAGTAACTAGGTAACGTTTCAGCAAATTTTAGTCAAGTTTAGCATCCACCATTTTAGGGAATTTGTCTGTGCAGCTAACGTAAAGGTCACCGGTTTTAAAACATTAACCCTCAGTTATTCCCTTTGATTAAAGGGTATACATATGTATGTGTATATACATAAAATTATATTTGTCATTCTATTCCTAGTATTTAAGATTTGTTTCATTTTCCTGTTCACAGTTAGACTCATTGTAAAGATTGTTCCTGATGGGTATTAAGCTGAAATCCAGTGTTAGAAAGATTTCTCTGTATTTCCACACAATATGGCTTAGTAACAAGGCCTTTTTTTCTCTTTCTTTTAAACATGGAGACTTACGTATTGGTTAGCAGAAGAAACTAAGCCTGTAAGAGAAGTCACCTCCCCTGCTATTCTTACAAATGGACTGGTACACCCAATGCTGCATAATCCCATGTAACTTCAGTTGCACGAGCCATCCCACCGATGTGGTCACAAGTCTCACGTTCCCCTGTACTGCATTGTCTGCCAGACTGGGTAGTCCATGTATAATACAAATAGAAATTTCTCAGTGTACAAAATACAGAGGTGAACCCTGATTCTCAATAAGGGATTTGCCTTAAGTACAGTCTAAATAAGTTCAGGATGTGGTCTACATGGCATTACTTTTTCAGAAGTTTATGCTAAGCTGAAATGCATGGTCTGTTGCTAGTAACAAAACATAACTTCACAAGCAGAGCTTAGGGTGGACTAATTCTTTACTTTCATTTCTTCTCAAAATCAGTAACTTTATTAATGGACTCCCTGTACCTGCAAACTGAAGATCCTCAAAATGAAATTGGGCTTTACTCAGTAATACTAGGTTATCAATGAACCGGATAGATTTCCCTTCCTGATGTGTCCTTCTAGTTGCTTGTTTTCTCAAAATCCTCATCTAATTTCTAAGTTTCAGCTTGGCAATGCCAACAGTTAAAAAATACCATAAATTAGAAAACATTTCAATTTTTTTTCATTATTTCTCTTTCATCACATTGAGAAATTTCTTCCCAAGCTATAGTATGAGCTTTCAGAATTGGCTTGGGGGTGCCTAGTTTGCTCTCAAAGGATGTAAGAACCAGATTTAGCAGCACAGAACAGCTGGTCTGCCAGGGAATCTCTTTACAGAGAGAATTTTTATATTGAATCGTGGGACTTCCTTCAGAGCGTGGTCCACAAATCTCTCATATGAAACCTGCTTTAGACAGATGCAGGAAGGAAAATCCTGTGTATGTAGTAATATATCTGAGCTGGCCAAATAGAGAGTGGGAATTTGCAGGTAGATGAACTCCATGGAAAGCTCATTTTCAAGTCAGTATTTCAAATATTCTTTGGATGTATAGTAATTTGGGAGCCTGAACGCTGACTGTAGATGGTTTGTATGCAGCTCCGATGCACTGAATTATCTTTCTTGAAAAAGCAAGCACCTTTTCCTTCAGAAATAACTCATAAAGTTTTAATTTCCCCCTTTTTTTCCATAGTTCTGAAATGAATGCTTTGTTCAGCTCATGACATAGACTTTTCCAGTGATGCAACAACCAATATAAAAGGTACTGAAGGAGGAAGAACTTGTCTAGGATGAAATGGACTGAAAGAGACAGAGGATCTGGGTTCTCATAGTTATCACTATGCAGAATTGCAGTGTGGTCTTCAGTCCCTGGCTAGTGACTCACCTGGTACCTTGACTTTCAAGTGCGCATGTGGGCAGTTGTGGGGATTCATCCTTTGGTATTTGTATATTTGTATAGCATGGTAAACTCCTCAGATAAAAACTGTTATAAAGATAACAGTGTAATTAGTAGATACAAGTGCAGATAGATTTTACTAGTTTCTGCACAAACCTGTGCATGTTCAGGTTTCCAGAAAGGAGTCAATATCACTCCAGACTTCCAGGCATATCAGTTTTACTGTCAGCTGCAAGGAGAGTATTTTGAATGTCCTATTTTACTGAAATGGAAAAGTCTACCATAATCAAAACTTACAGCCGTACTTTTCTTCCCTTATTCTTCATAACTGATAAAGTTGGGCTAATTTATGTGAGATTGTTTTCTAAAGTGGCATACAACATTGGTTTGACAGAAATGCTGGGTAGTCAGTTGTTCATATTTTCTCTATTCTGCTGTATAATGAGGTTTTGAAGCCACTGAATTATCACAGCAGAATATATAGAGCTTGGAATACAAAAGTAAAAATTTAGGGAAACATGGATCTCTGCTAGAAACAAACCTAGTGTCATGGTTTAACCCCAGCTGGCAACTAAGCACCACACAGCTGCTCGCTCACTCCCCCCCAGTGGGATGGGGGAAAGAATTGGAAGGGTAAAAGTGTGAAAACTCGTGGGTTGAGATAAAGACCATTTAATAGGCAAAGCAAAAGCCGCGCGTACAAGCAAAGCAAAACAAGGAATTCGTTCACTCCGTCCCATGGGCAGGCAGGTGTTCAGCCATCTCCAGGAAAGCAGGGCTCCATCACACGTAATGGTTACTTGGGAAGACAAACGCCATCACTCCGAACGTCCCCCCCTTCCTTCTTCTTCCCCCAGCTTTATATGCTGAGCATGATGTCACATGGTGTGGAATATCCCTTTGGTCAGTTTGGGTCAGCTGTCCCAGCTGTGCCCCCTCCCAGCTTCTTGTGCACCTCCTCGCTTGCAGAGCATGGGAAGCTGAAAAGTCGTTGACTTAGCATAAGCACTGCTTAGCAACAACTAAAACATCAGCATTATTCTCATGCTAATTCCAAAACACAGCACTATACCAGCTACTAGGAGGAAAATTAACTCCATCCCAGCTGAAACCAGGACACCTAGTTAACTAGAGGTTGCTGAAAAGCAACAGGACCCAGATCACAAATATTTGTTCATATTGCAGCTGAACCTAACTTGCACTTTACATTCACTTTACATTGCACTTTTTTACATGCATTCTTTTATTCAGTAGTTGAAAAATTGGAGTGGGGATCAGGAGATCCCTCCAAGGTAAGAAAGCATCTGTGTTTGTATGGCTGCCTTTGTAAATACCTTTTTCTGTAGATATCTGTTGTACACGGATTTAGATATAGATACATTCATATGTATAATTAGGGATATAGACATTTGGTTAACTTGAAAGCTCCAAAGTGTCGTTTGTCACATTTATGGTAGGAACTTTAACTGCGTTAAATACTTATTCTTTTCCAAAGTGACTTTTTTCTTTTCCCTCTACAAAAAAAATCAAAATGTACTTCATGAAACTATTGTATATGAAGCACTTATTAGCTGTAATTAAATGGACAATATGAATTTACTACGTCTTTAGGACTCTGGCTTGTTCTGGTTTAGAGCAAGATGATTAATGCAAATACATATTACTTGAGATAACCATTTAGCAGCTAATTTAGCCAAATTTATTACAGCAGTTAGAGGTTTTTCATTTTAGCAGACGGAGACAAGGACATGACAAAAGCAGAAGGTGTATATGAATGCACACTGCCCTCTAGTGCACAAAGCTTTATGGGATTGGTGAGAAATGCAGAGAGTAAGTGCTCCAGTAACAATAGTACCCAGATTTTGTATGGTTTAGGTTTTCTTTAAAACTATGCTGCTCTCTTCCACTGAAAGGGTTGCATTTCATCCCCTCCTCCTGACACTGAAGCATCAGATACAAACCAAACCCGTTTCAACTTGGCAATGTTTTGGCTCAAGTATTACGTTAAACATCTGTATTTTTAAGCCTTCTTGCTGTGAGCGTTTAATAACACCGTTTCACATTACTGATTGCTTTTACTTGTTTCTCTGTTTCCTAGCATATTTCAAACATCGGAGAGAGGTGTCACTCTTTGGCTCTAACCAAGCCATTCTGTGCCTCCCTTAGGCCTCTTTCTCAGTCTGTTGGTGGATTTACTTTGCTCTGGTAGAAAGTAAATTCTCCCAAGACTTTCCCCCCACTGACCAGTGGAAATTTTGTTCATCTGAGAACTGTAAATTCTGTTTGACAGGATCAAAGAAACAGATGTATAAGTTCAGTGGTTGATATTGCCTGCAATAAGGAGAAATGATCAAAGCAGTAGGGGTAGAGTATCTTCCCAAACCTTTCAAATATCCAGAATCTCAAAGAGGTCTACCTAGGAGCTATGAATAAATCACATATAAATTTGCCTCTTTTTTTCTTTTCTTTTTTTTACAGTTTGACATTGAGTGCATTGAAAATGTCCACACAGCAATAAGTATTCTGTGAACCAAAGAGATTTGTAGTTCTTTTTACTTTTCTTCTTCCACTAGAGTTTCCAAAAACAGATTAAAATTATACTTTAAAAACTTGTAAAACATACAGCTAGTTATACTGAACTTCAGATCCTGTTTGTCATCTCACTGGGATGCTGCATTAAGCCTAAAGGAAGCCAAGTATCTTCTGCTCATACTTGTGGCATGTTGTACAATGAAGGTCATTTTACCACAGTTCTGACACGCACTATATCTCACTTCTGTTTTGTTTGTATTTTTTTGCCAGTGCTGAATAAGGGTCAATGTGTAACAAAGTATTATCGCTGGATGCAGAAGAACGGAGGTTATATCTGGATACAGTCTAGTGCAACCATAGCTGTCAATGCCAAGAACGCAAGTGAGAAGAATATCATCTGGGTCAATTACCTTCTTAGGTAGGTCTTCCAGTCACTTCTCTCACTTGAACTGCTGTCTCTGTTGCTTGTCTCTGTTGGTGAGAGTTTTAGGGAAAAAACAATTGCCTACTGGAGAAAGTTAAGGAGAAGAACTTTTCATATGGTCCACCTCAAACGCAGTGCCATTTGGTTATATTTATTGGGACATCTGTTATGTCTCAGTACACTGGAATATTCTTGAATTATTATGCTGCCTTAGTCTTCAAATAAACCCTCCACCATTTGATTGCGTGCCTCCACTGCCCTGAAATCTACTCAACCTGAGCTCAAAGATAAAAATGATCCACACCAACTTTCAGTAGTTGTGTTATAAAATGTGGTGTGAAGTGTTGAGCACTGGTTTATCTGTTATTGAAAATGCATGGAAGCAAACTTCTGGAATGCTACAAAAAGGTCTCTGAAAGGTGTTTGCCAGTTCACTCCAGAGAGATGAATTTTCTCAGGAGAAAAGCCTTGAACTAATATGTTGCTCCTGTAACCATCAGACAGTATTCACACTGAAAAATGCAAAATGGGATTTAAAAATAAAAGTAGCAATTAAAACTATTTTAAACTATTAGAACTATTTTAAACAGAAATAGTAGTAATATCTTGAATTAAAGGCTCTTCCCTGAGAAATTCTTTTTCACTGAAGCCCAAGTATTTTTAAAGGACTGGTTTCTGAGCTCAAGGGAAGACCAACAGTCACTGAGAGACAGTGAATTATAAACCTGACCTTTCTCATCTGAAAATACCTTTCAACACATTCTGTTTTGTGAAAATGTTCAATAAGATTGGGGGATTTTCTGTTTCATTCCAGAGCAGAACAAACAAACAAATAAAATTTGAAACCTTGAGATTGTCATGAAATGCAATTGTCATTTTCTGGCCTGTTCTCCTTTTAAGTTGCTTGTCATGGTTTGTTACATTCCCTTTGATGCCATGAGAGTTCAAAGTGATGTCTAGGGGTTAGATTGTGGCTTATTATGCCAAGTCCAGCAAGCCCTGAAGAGTCTGTGCCTGCCTAAACTTGCATGTTGAAATACTTTTGATTCCCCTTTTGGGGAAGAGGAGGAAGCAACCCCTGGGAGGAGAGCATTGAAGGATACTGTGGGAAGCCTTCCACAGCAGTGGAGTGTTCACTGGGGCGTGCATCTTTCTGTCCTGCTATGATTGAGCACGGTCATTTCTGAATATATCCTTATCCTGCTACTTTTTTGTCTCTTTTTGCAAGAGTGAGGGAGAATGCAGCATTTCAAGAGGTCAGCTTAAGCCTGAACTGGAAGTACAGCTTCACTGTCCTAGTCCTAACAGGGCTTCAAAATGCCCAGAAATGTGCTCATATTCTAGCTGGAAAAGTGGTCCATAAGAATTACGAACAGTTGCCTCTGTCCCCTTTGCTGCTTTCCAGACGAAAAAAGAAAAGCAGTGTGGTCTTCCCCAAGTCTCCTCCCAGCACTTGATTTTTCTGCTGCATTCCCTTCACCAGTCTGTTAGAGAAAGATTAACTTCTCCACTGAATTTCTATTTTAAATTTAGATTTCTCCTAGTACTGGAATCCACGAAAGATCCAAATGTCCAAATAATATTTTAATGACAGATCAAGGCATAATTAGGTCTACTCTTAGCAGGAGTACTGGTCTGTATACATTTCCATGTATTAGAAAGTATGATTCAGCTGTCTGTAAAAGGATAGACTAATTATAGTGACAGGGAGGATTAATGCTGTTCTTGTTCTAGCAACTTGTTATGCACAGTGTGAAAGCCCTCAAACATCTTTTACTTGGAGGGGGCAAATTTGGGGACTGCCCTGGGATGCAACAGAATAAAGTCACTTTGTCAGGACAAAACCATAAAGATGATAATCGTAAGAATGGCATTTCAATGTGAACTGTGTGAACTCTGAATTTTCACAGGACACTGTAATAGGCTGAATATGGGCACACTGTCATTGTGATAGTGTGTCAGTCACCCCCAGTGCTGCCTCATATTGTTCTATGCAGGACTGCAGATTTTCTGCTCTATCACCGGGCTGGAATTTGAACTGCATAGAAATGCTCACCTATTCAAAAATGATTAAAGACTTTGTTTATTTTCAACATTCCTATGCCACTTATGTCTAGCTGTGTCTGTTCCCCTGCCTTTGCACAGATTTGGGAAAGGAACACATATTAAAAGGTACAAACCAAGAAAAAGCATAGGGCAGGGGGGTTCAGTTTCTCCGGTAGTGTAGCTTTTTTACATTGCAGTCATGTTCATTGCTAACAAGTCACAGGTGAGCACCACATGAGCAGATGAAGATATGATTATAATGGGTGTGTTGACAGTTCTTTATCCCTAACATATGCATCTTAACATGCACATGTGCATCTGTCATATAGTTAGAGTGGTTGCTTTTGGTTTCTTGGTGATGTGAATGCATGTGTGCAGTGTTTAAAAAATATATAACCTTTTTAATCTGTTTTTTGGCCAAATTCTTTTGAGCAGTGGTCGTTTATTCTAGTCCCAACTGAGCACCTTCTTACTAACTTTATGTATGGTCTGCTCGATTGAAGTGTGGAAAACAGGAACGTTGAGAAAAACAGGTATTGAAAGGGCTCTGGCAAGGTTGATAGAGAACATTGTTACAGAGATAACTCTAATAGACATTGCCGGTGGGAGAGAAACAGATTGGAAAAGTTAAAACACCCTCTCTGTCCTTCCAGGCACAGTAATGGGATCGAAATCGAGATATTTTGTTGTTGGATGATTATACAGTGTAGCTTTACTGTTAGATATCACACAAGCCATGGTGTCCCACTTCAGTAAGAATTCTTTGATAGCTCTAAAACTTCACTAGAATCAAACGAGTTTTAGTACCTGGTCAATATAAGTATTTGACAGCAGTATTAAAATAAACCTTCATAAAATCCCTGCTGTGAAGCTCTGAGGAACCGAAAATGTATGTTTCTGTGTTTGCTCTGCTATTCTTCCATTTATGTTCTCTGTTCCTGAACTTTGATACGAAAAGAGCGAAAAACCATGAAACTGCAAATCATCCAATTGTGTTTATATTTGCTGTCTCCTCTTCAGTAACCCAGAGTACAAGGACACTCCAATGGATATTGCACAACTTCCTCATCTGCCAGAGAAAACCTCAGAATCCTCGGAGACCTCTGACTCTGAATCGGACTCAAAGGACAACTCAGGTAACACACATTTTGTACCTTTACACCCACAAAAGGTTCATATCATGAGAGCCATGTGGTTGGTTTTCCAGTTGCTTTTACTTCTCAAGGATTGTTCCCTTATAACAACAACAACAAAAAAAAACAGTAAAATTAAATTGAAAAACACTAGCAAAATCTTTTAATGACCTCAGCATTTCCACAGTATCTCCATTTCCTCAGTATTTCTCTTCACTCTCTGCACGCATCCTTGCCTACATTGCACTGAGCTAAATATTTGATTTCCCAGCTAAGCTTCATGAACAGGTATTGCGTCTTGTGGAGAGGACCTGGCATTGTAACTGTTGAATGTAATTCTAGTTCTTATCTTTCCGGAGTAGTCATACATCAATCTTTATGACCCTTTTTCCTGTATATATACATTTTTGAAGAGTCTCACTAGGGGGCAGTGAAGATTGCGAAATTTGAGGGTTTTCTTGGGTTAAAAGAATTGTATTTTATTAGAAGGTACGGGTTCAAGCACTTGTTTCTAAGGTCTTTAAGTCTGGGACTTCAGCCGTTTTTTAAAAGCTAAATGTACTTTTCAAACTCAGTGTGTAAATTAGTGCACAGTGCACAGATGGTTCACACATTCCCCATTAGTTTTAAAAGTGGTTACCTAGGTACAGGTACAGATCATCTGGCTTTGAAAGGAGCATGGTTTCCTGTGGCCGAAGAACTAAGGATGTTACTCTGCCATAGTATGCGATATATAGATCTGATTTCTCTCTCGTGTCTATGGCTGTTCTCTTTTGTCTTTTGCCTTTATCTGTTCTCCTTTGACAGCTTGGTTTGATGGTTTAAGTCAATATTAGCACACATATAGGCTTGTTGCCCACCATCATTGGGAATGTCTTCACCCATTCCCAGTGCTTCCTTTATGCTGTCTGGTTCCTAAATAACCAAATAACATACATGTGGAGAACAGTTTGCATTTCCCATGTGCACTGTAAGTTTCTTCAGCTGAGAAGTGTATGTGCATTCATGACTCATAAGGCTGATGCAGAGCAAGAGAGCATTCTTCAAAGGTGCACAGACGTGTACATCTCAGAAGGAGATGTCTTGGAAGACAGCAGAGGCAGGGGGTTGTTTCTTACAAAAGAATTAAATAGAAATGCCAAAGGAACTTGAAATCAGAACAGCATCTTGGATGAAACCAACAAGTTCAGTTCAAGCTCTCATAAAATCCCAGGCAAATTTTGTGCAGCTTTAGACTACCTCACCCTGAGGCCACTCTTGACCAGCTAGAAACCGTGACCTTAAAAGAAAGCATCTTCAAAACAAGAAAAAAAATTGTAGGAGAAATTCAGCCCTAGGTGGAACAAAAAGCTGGATGAAATTTAGGGGTTTGTGGCTGTTACTTTGCTTCTGTGGGTTTTATTTTTCAAACGGGAGGGTCTCTGCTGCTGGTGACTCAAACAAAAGTCCCACTAAGTGACTTGTGAAACGCATTGCCCCAAATCCTCAGGCAGCTTCCCTGTCAAGCCCACCTTCTCCAGCACTTCTGGGAAACTGTTTGGTATTGACATGGCTCCAGGAGTAACCAATCTTTAGAGGAAAACTGGCCCTTCCCCTCTCCCCCTAAAAAGAGTATATTGAAAAGGGTAGTACTTGGCTCTGATGAGTGAAAAAACATCTTTTATTTCCCAACAAAAGATTTCTGGCTGGTCTGTAAAAGACGGGGTCTCCTGAAGCCTTTCATGACCCCTTCAAACATAGTATGATAATGGAGAGCATTCATTCTCAAAGCTGCTTGGCTGCCTGAGTCCAGTGGGCTAGAGCGTTTATCTCATCCGTATTAGAATTAGGTAAAAATCTAAAACACAACTAAATGAATTCAGGCAAGGAGAGTGACAGCTTCTCAGTGCTGTAACTGGGCTATTTTCAATGGCCCTTAGATGGTTTGGATCAATCAAGAATTTAATTCACTGCCTGAAATTTTTTTTATGTTTTTTTTTTAATTTGTTGCCCTTCGGGGGAATATGAGAAGACAGTCTAGCAATGTAACAAAATTGTTATAACTGGTTTATTCATTCAGATTTATACATGTATGACCTGCTTCTCCTCTCACACGGGAGGAAATCAGCAGTAATTCCACTGGAGTCAGAGACACTGTGCCACTTCAAAAGTGGCAATGGTGAGAGGAAAATGAGATGAGCGGACTAGAATCTTCATTAGTAAATAGTGCTACACCTGGGTGCCTGCCCACAGTAGGAGAACACAGATGTAAAATAACAATCACCAGAACATAATGGGCATAATGGGATTGTTCACTGACTCCTCTTTCGATGACACAGCTACAATGCCGTTGTGCTCACAGTTGTCAGAATGATTCTTGTCCAGCGAGCAGATGAAAAGGCCCCCCTCAATCAAGGTGCAGGCCATATACCATAGGCTTTTAGAGCACTAACAATCCTGAGTCAGGGAGATTCATGGTGATCAAAACTCTCCCAACACAACGTTGCAAAAAAATTGTGGCTCTACAGAAGAGAACGCCTTTTGCCAAAAAAGTTTACAGCAATCAAATCTCATTGGTAGGTAGAAATCTGGACTTGGGTTATAATATTATGTTCCTGTTGCTAATGGTTTGTTTCACTTTCCTTTTGCTCCAGAGGACAATGAGAACTCAAAGTCAGATGAGAAAGGAAACCAGTCAGAAAACAGCGAAGACCCTGAATCCGACAGGAAAAAGTCAGGAAATCAGTCGGATAACGAAATGAACTGTAATGATGATGGGAACAGCTCCAGCAACCAGGACAGCAGGGACAGTGATGACAGCTTTGAAAACTCTGACTTCGAGAATCAAAAGGCCCCTGAGGACAGTTTTGGCACTCTTGGCTCTATGCAGATCAAGGTGGAGCGCTATGTTGAGAGTGAGTCAGACTTGCGGTTGCAGAACTGTGAATCACTGACCTCGGACAGTGCCAAGGACTCAGACAGTGCAGGGGAAGTAAATGCCCAGTCTTCCAGCAAACATCAAAAGAGGAAGAAGAGGAGAAAAAAGCAAAAGGGAGGCAGCATGACCCGGAGAAGGCTGTCAAGCACCTCAAGTCCAAATGGACTTGACTCAGCTTTGGTGGACCAGCCCCAGCTGCTCTCGTCGCCAAACAGTGCCTCAGTGCTCAAAATTAAAACAGAAATCTCAGAACCTATCAATTTTGATAATGATAGCAGTATTTGGAATTACCCACCCAACAGGGAAATCTCAAGGAATGAATCACCCTACAGTATGACCAAGCCCCCCAGCTCTGAGCACTTCCCTTCCCCCCAAGCCAGCAGTAGTTTACATGTCTCCATTCCAGACTCTGTTCTCACCCCGCCAGGGACTGAAAATACTGCCAGCCGTAAAACTCAGTTCAGCACCTCATCCAGCTCAGCCTTGGCTCCTGTGTCCTCTGACCCTTTGTCACCCCCGCTTTCAGCATCTCCACGGGACAAACATCCAGGAGGTCCCACAACTTCCAACTCTTTGTTGTACACTGGGGATCTGGAAGCCCTTCAGAGGTTACAAGCAGGCAATGTGGTTCTTCCTTTGGTTCACAGGGTAACGGGAACCCTTGCTGCGACCAGCACTGCTGCTCAGAGGGTCTACACCACTGGCACTATTCGGTATGCTCCAGCTGAAGTTACTTTAGCCATGCAGGGCAACCTCCTCCCCAACACCCACGCTGTTAACTTTGTTGATGTTAACAGCCCCAGCTTTGGGCTGGATCCTAAAACACCGATGGAAATGCTCTACCACCACGTTCACCGACTCAATATGTCGGGACCGTTTGGAAGTGCTGTGAGCGGGGCCAGTCTGACCCAAATGCCTGCAGGGAATGTGTTCACAACTGCCGAAGGACTTTTTTCCACTCTTCCATTTCCTGTGTACAGCAATGGCATTCACACTACACAGACTCTGGAACGGAAAGAGGATTGAAATATGACCACATACTGTGTTCAGTGTTATACTCTGAGGCATAGACTATGTTTTAATTTAGACCTTTAATTCTAGCACTTTGAATTTGAGCAGGTCAGCTTATTCTCTCAATATGATGGTCCCCATTTCATTCCCTTTCTCTTTAACTTGACTTATTCTTTACTGTAAAGATATTTTTTTATTTTTGCCTTCAGAGAGTCGAAGTACCAGTTGCCTGCCATTTTGTCTTCTTCTAAGATGTGTGTTTTTTCCTTTGCATCTTTATTAAGATGCCTTTAATATGTGTATGCCTCTGCCATAGAATACTCAGTGTTGTGGTAAAGAGATTTTAAAGTGACAACCATTGGTTTTACTTCAAAATGATCTTGATATGATCAAGATTAAGAGAGACAAGCATAAACAATGTGCCCTGTTTGACTAAGTCAAATGAAAAGGGGTTTTTGTTCCTAATTCCTTTAAAAATAGGGGATAGTATTTTAGAATTTTATGCAGAGTTTAATTCTCTTTTTATGGTTAAGATTTTCTTACTTGCACATAAAATAATTTGGGTTCTTAAAAAGTTAATTTCTGGCCTGTGACTAGAATGTTAAAAAGTTGGACTAAATGTTAATTACTGAAACTTTAACTTAATTTCTAAAACCATGGTGCTATCATTTATTAATCTGTAATGTCTTCATACAATATGCAGCTTGTGGGCTGGGTTTTTTGGAAAGAATGTGTTCCGTACTGGTTTATAGTCGGGTGCTGCAGTCTCCTTGGTTAGTTAAGACAAAAGCCCTCATTAACATTTGCTGCAGGACTTAAAATTTTTTACCTCCAAACTAACAAGCATAGCCTCACATCAAATTTAAATGGGTCAGGAAGCCTTTTTCAAAAAGCGCTTAAAAACAGAAAACTCAATTTAATTGACGCGAGGAGCAGTTTCTTAGGTGCATATTGTTTTGCTTTATTTTTTTCTCAGTGTAACTGAGGCTAATTTTACAACATCAAATAACACTTCGGAGTAAAAAAAAAACCAGAAGAACTATTTAACATGTTTTGTTTTGTTTTTCATTTAATATTATAGAGGGAAGGTTGTAAATTTCTTTTTGTTCTTTGATTTGGGTATTTTTTGTTGTTTTTTCCTTATTTCTAGCGTTGAAACCAATATGTTTTAAAACTAAAGAATGGGTTAATAAGCTTGAAATAGATAACTACAACTGAAAACTGCACATTAAGTAAAAGAAAAGAAATCTCCTATTTTGTCTTTGTTGCCAGAAATCACAGTGTAGTGTCAAACACTCCAAATGACTGTCAAATATAAATTCTTCTTCCACTCCATCTTTGGCAGCTGTTTGTTAAGGCATCTAATAACAGATGTGAGAACTGTAATGTGTACAATGTGTAAGTGTCCTTGGCTGTCAGTCCCATTGCAGTTTCAATGTGTGTTACTATATGCAGTATATACTAAGCTAATGTAGTTGTTTTGTCCTTTGTCTTCTCTGTGCTTTATCTCTAGTCCGGAGTGGTAAAGTCCCATTCCTGCAGTCCTAGTGAACCAGTGATTCTTGGGGGTTAGTGGTTTTTGTGTGGTGGCCTTCCTCTGTAATGTCACCTTATGCTGCTTCCACTGTCTGTATACCTTTTAATTTCTGCTGTTGCTTTGCTGTTGTGTATTCTCAAACCTCTCTCCCCCCCTTCCTCTCTCCCCTCCTCTCCCCGCCTCTCCCCTCTCTCTTTCTCTCTCTCTCTCGCGTTCTCTCTTCTTCACTCTCAGAGATAAAAGACTCTTAACTAGCTCAAGGTTAATGGAGCCATTTTTCCCACAGAGGAATTCTGGGTATGACTTACTCTTCCAGTGTACCCCACAATGCACTACAGAGTAATGCTCAGATATATTAAGCAAATTGACGCCATATAGCCTCAGTTGTTAACATTCCCAGAGTCCCTTGTGCTCGAACTGTAAGCAGAGGGTGCATTTCTTTGGTTTTCTCCCAGGTAGGCTGGCGGAGTAATACGTAGAGCAATTACCAGTGAGATAGGAAATGCTTTCAAAGGTCAACCAGCATTGTTTAAAAAGGAAACTGAGCTTAGAATTGTCATATATATTTGCTTATGTGTGCAATGCTAATATATTAACTCAGCTGTCCTTTGAATTTTTGGTCGCTCACTGTGTCGAGTCAATTCCTGCGGTAGCGTTGAATTTGAGAAGTAGGAGGTCCAAGCCACAGCGAAGTAATAGCGAAAAAGGAATTGGATGCCACAAATTTAATTAATGAGCTTTTAAAGGTTCCATTGGAAGGATTTAAGTAGGTCTGAAAAAGGCGGGAAATCTGATTGGGAAATGCAAAGTTTAATTTTGGAAGCTCTACTCTAGCTATGGAACAATCAAAGGAGTGCACCTATCAGCTACAAAGAACAGCTAGGCAGCTGTTGTTGTTTTGGGTTTTTTTTATAAATGTTTCTGTGTTGTGTCAAAATGATTTCTGGTGATTTAAACTAACAGATAATCACAGCTGCTGTCTAAATCCATAGTGTTTAAAATTACAAAATGAAAAAAAAACTTCATTACCTGTGAAGACTGTGTCTGTGTTTTTAACTATTTCTTGTACAAATATATGAAATCTTTTATGAGGAGACTGGTGCCAAGTAGCTGAATAATGGGGAAAGGGATTCTGTTCGTATAAATCTTAGCAGTGTTACCAACTCTACAATATAAAAAAAATTAAAATGTTAAAAAGTGACAGCTATGGTACATTTATTTTGTGTTAAGCTAACCGAATCTAACTTCTTGAGTGCCTGGCTTATTTGAAACATTTTTTTCATTGATCATTGATAATGCTGCAAATCAGAAATGTACATACTTCATTTACAACAGGGTTCTTTTTATACTTTTGTAGATTCTCATACATGTCATACATGGTTGTCTTTATGTAACTTAATTTTTTTTCATCCCGCAGGTGCCATTTTCATAATAAACTTCTCTTGGATTTGTTACTATCTGGCATCATTTCTTTTACATATAACCATCCTGACTAATGAATGCTGGTAGTATTTGTTTGAGCAGGTATTTTTTAATTGTTTTGTTTAAAAACCAAAAAAAAACCAAAAAAAAGAAAAAAAAAAACAAAAATCAAAGAGGATAAAGCTAGATTTTATTAACGCTTGTGAAATGAAGAAAAGAAGCTGTCAAGATGTAGGTTAAGAATGCTAATCCAAATACTACAACAAACTTGCCACCATCCTAAATTCTCAGCTACCCCAACTCATTGTCATATTGAGCATTTTTATGCACATTATCAAAGCTGAATAATGGACCTGCAACATTGACCACTATAGAAAGTGTGCATTTTTTCTTGATTAATGCACACTGGAAGAGGTCAGCTTTTGTACATTAATCATTTAAAATGCACTTTATATTTTCATTTTTGTACTCTACAATGTTACAGTGAAACTCTTCAGTCACATTATATCCTACCTAGGCTGCTGATTCTTTTAAATGTGTACTTTCCTTCCCCAGACTGGCAACATGTAAGTTGTTGGTGTCGTGTGGCTAGACTTTCTGCCTTACAAACTGAGGACAGAAACATTTACCAGCGTAGAAAAGACAAGGCAAAAAGCCTTGACCTGACAACTGAAGGGAAAAAAAAAACCCTCAAATACAGTTGTGATTACGCAGACATCCACACGCAGTGGTTGACCCTAAAAAGGGAGCAGCCATCAGCGATTACGCCTGCGTAAGTTCTGAAAAAAGGCCCAGAGCAAATGTGCTCCCCTGTGGAAAAGCAGGGAGAAGCTATGCTACAGGAGATGCCTCCCCAGGTACCCATCGCTGTGTGCTGGCTGGCAGTGGCTGTGGCACCCACGAGGAGGGGCTGGGTCACGGCAGGGCTGGGGAGCAGGAGCCTTCTCACCCACTGCTCACGCGGTCTCTGCGTTTCTCCTTCATTCATTGGCTTTCTTTACAGTGCCTCCCCCACTGCGACAAAGACTTCCAGATTCCATATTTTATTTTGTTATTGCTGAGTACGCAACCTCTAAGAACACAAATTTTGGGCATCTAAAATCAAGCCAGTGCTGCCCCTAGCCAAAATCTGTAAGCAACTTTGAGTGCCCAAATCTTTCCTCCTCTGTATGTCCACTTAGAAGTTAAAACTACTGGGCTAGTCATTCTGGATCAGATTTTGGTTGCCTTATTAAAGCTGAGTAAAACTGTCTAATCAGTTGCACAGTTTTCAGCACATCTTTTTACAGCAAAAGATACACTCGGCTGAAGTAAGAGCATGTGAATCTGGCTTGCTGGGCTGATTAAAAAAAAAAAAAAAAAAATGTATGCACAGTTATAGCTCGGTGAGCCAGCCCAATGGCTTAATAGCCTGAAGTCTGGCTCTTTGAGTTTCCAAGCAGTTCAGGATTCCCGCTTCCCAGGCTCCAAGCACTGAGTTTGATATGTCTCCAACTTGCAGGGGGTAGAAAGCAGCAGAGGTTAGCAGTGCTGCTTTCAGCTCTGCTCACATGTTCCAGTTGGCATTGCATCTTGTTTATGAGGTAGCTAGGGGTACGGATGCCAACCGAGAGGAAAACGGAATTTAAATGGAGATTGGAAGAATGACTAGAATAAAGCTTAATGGAAGAATAACGTGCCTGTTCCAAATAAGTGTTAACCAAAATTATCTAAAGCCACTAATTCCAAGAAGGGGTTTGAGGGGGGTGTTTCCGAACTCTTATAAAGGCTTTTTAAACCTCAACCATATTGCCTATACATTGCATCAGAGCACAGAGTTGATGGTCAAAGTGAATAAACCGCTCTAAGACTTCCAGCTGAATGAGAGAGTTTGTGCATTAAAGAAGATGATGGAAAGGCTGTTCCATGGGGGATTTTTTTATAGTGATGCTGTTGCATCGATACAGCTCTGGGGAATGGATTTTGTAAATTATTATTTGTAGCAATTTTAAGAAACAAAAACAACTGCTTGAAAGGGTTGAATCCTTTGAAAAGGGTTCTTTGGGGTTGGTCTAGTTGCTATTTTTCTAATATTTGGAGGAAAAACTGTTTGCCATGCAGGAAGTTGGGCAAACTTTGTCAAGTCACTTCATCAAAGAACATGTCCTAAAATAACTGATCTCAGTAACTGCCATCTCTGGAAAGTTTGTTCCTCCTCCACTTGTTTTGCAAGGTGATATATGCAGGTATCTAAAAGCCACCTGAAGAGTTGCAAGGGGAAAAGGGCTCTTTCAAAGCGTCATGACTCTGAGAAGTTACAGTGATAGAAAAACATTTCAGGACTACTTAGATAACTAGCTCTGACAGCTTGCACTGGTGCTATTGCACGGTGGTCATGTCACTGGAGTAACTGTGATGCCCCTGACAGCACATTTATTGTTATGATTCTAGGAACTGCAGTAGTTTAAATGTGTCAGTGCTTTCAGAGGTATTTGCATAGTATTTTTCCTTCTTGCCATTGTAATCTCTTTATTTTCACTTTAGGGCTGGGGAAGGAGGGTGGAAAGGCTGGATGTGCATTGTCAACTAATTTAATGAACTGTCATCTATCCAGAGAGTTTACCGAGGAGCCTACAGAAATGTGAACAAATGGGATGTCACCAGAGCCACAGATGCTCAGGTAAGATCAAACCATTTATAAAACATGCACATGCATGCACGCAGACACACAGATCTGCTACCTCTGAAAGCCAGTTGGGCTTTCAGACTGGGCAGGGTAGTGCCTATGTATATATGCATAATAAAGGTACTTTCTTCCCCTCTTCCACCTATTCCTTCATCTTTTCATCAGAAGGAGTGAGTCCTGGAAGCTGTTATTCTCTCTCTCTCAGCATAAGTAGTGTTTATATAGTGTATGAACAGGTATATTTTGCTGGCTGAAATAACAGCCCAGTGACTCGTCTAATAGCTTTGAAATTTCCAAATAGCACTCAAGACCAAATTTTCATAAAACATATCCAATCACACCAACACTTTCTGTCACAAAATCAAACAGGATCTTTCTGAAAGCAATAGGACCCAAGGTAAGCCAA